AGATATGAAGCAAATAAATATTATCTACTAATAGGTACAAAATACCTGTATATAATATGTACATACACCAGTCGGCCATATCGCAATTAGAGATTTTCTCTTTGCAGTGTGACTAACCAGTGAACATGTTTTCCTGTCCAACGGACACTAGAGAGAGTAGACACTTTTCAACCTTTTAAGGTTCTAACCATAGGAAGCTAAAACTATAACTGGAGAAAAAGAGTTTGTAGCTGCAAGCTTTAACTCTTTCCTTCAGAGCTGCAGTCACAGCCCATGCTAATCAAGAGCTCACATTTTAATCACTAAAGAATGGAAGATTCCGTACATTCCAATATTACAAATCCACTTTAATAATCAAACAATTTCATCACCGTAATTCCGTTGCCCTTAGTTCTGTGTGAAGGAAAAACAACTGTAAAAATGACAAATAGAGTTTTATTAGGTGTTACTCAGTCGTAGATTCCTTATGATAATGATGGTGACGATGGCTACAAGGATTATAAGTATGAAACAATTTAAATGTGAAAAAGGAAGGACGATAAAGGCTAAACACATATTAATGACACAGATAACATTACGAATTTCTTAATTACGTTCTCATTGTATTTTTTTCTTTCATTCTTTAGAATATGATGGATATTTAGCATGTTTGGATATATATTTAGCAAAGCATGTTCACTTGCATATTTTCTATTAAACGCGTTATTTGATGTTTGTTGTGAATAATACAACTCATTTACACGATGTCAAATGACTATAAATGTAAAATATTGTATATAAAACGGATCTGTTTCAATTAATCCATAGCCCTTGCTCTGTTCTCACTACCATCCCAGTAGCATGTTGATATTTAAATTCTTGTCTCGCTCAGTCTTCAGTATCTTGGTATGCTATATAATCAATTTAGGATTACATATGCACCATGAAAGTAATAATAAAGCTAAACTCACCAGAGATTCTCAGAATACCTTCAAACTCGCCAGACCAACCTCATTACTATTCATTGTTACCAAGTAACTGTGATTCACCTTCATGAGCTACACGCTGATTTTATACTTGGAAGAAATGAGTATTCATTGCTATGTTTCAAGTCTATGTATTGCTCTGACTTCATTGGGAATCTTGTTAAGCAATGAAGAAGTTTAAAATGTGTTCCATGAAGAGGTAAAGCCTGGTTTGCATTTGAATGAGAGTTAAAGTTGAAACGAGTAGACAAAAGAGAGGTTCTTTTTGACGATTATGTATAATGATAATTGTTTATGGAGAAGTCTGAGACAAGAATGGAGGAAGGAAAAAAGGGGAATATAATGAAGAGAAACGAAACTGATAGTTCGAGTGTTTTACAGTGGTTATAAAAATGGCTGTAAGGAGAGATGTAAAATAGCATAAAAAAACGATGAACAACAAAGAGAAAGGGGACATGGAAAGAACACGTGAGAGAGAGAGAGAGAAAGAGATTAATAATAATCTACGAGTCATACAATTAGAGCAAACAGCAAGTAAAAACAAATACGTCAAACTTTAACGAAACGGATTGAATTCTCATCACGTATTAAGATGCAAGGAACATCGTCAGTGCGAGTGGATGGGGAAGAGAGTGGAAGAATCCGGAATGGCTGTGTGCGGTTGGTATGTTCAGTGGCTTTGGTGTAGCCAAATATTTATCTCTGTTCACCTCTTTCCTTTTGATCGCATCGTCGTGGCAATCAGTTCAACGTAAACTCAATTGTCATTCTTTTCTTCGAAGTCTTCCAGAATACACGTCTACGGAGCAAGAAAAGGGGGAATGGAATAGGTAGATATATAAAGCAAAGAAGGCAGAAAGAGAGAGGAAAGTTTTGAAATCAAAGTATAAGGTAGTTTTTTTCAGATTTTCTAAAGAAAGAATTCACTTTGGCTTCTTCCTTTTGGAATAGATTTCCCGCTCGAGACGAGTTTATGCCAAGTTTAGGAAATATTTTGAATAAAGAGGGATTCCATGTTTAGTTTCCATGTTAAAGCAGGCTAATTAGAAGATATGTACATTGCCAAGTAGCGTTTAGTAGCATATACTCTGAAGTTGATGCAATTCATTGCAAATGTCACTGGTATATCATAGAAAATAACAAGCAAGGAGAAACTTTCAATAATTTTATTTGAGCTTAAACATGCGTTATTATTACGGGCATAACTTTCACAGCAACAGACATAATGAACCTAATAGAGATGTGCTATAGGACTGTGCAAATAAACTAATTCTGTATATGTAGCAGCTGGGAATCCTGCGTTGATGGGCCCTTAATCCCTAGAGGATATAGGTAAGACCTCTTCTTTGTCAGATTCTTTCCTCGGGAAGAGAGCAAGTTCAAGTGCATCAACGAAGAAGGCTAAGCGGTTTGGTTATATTACTAATATACATATCTTCATTCTACCAAGCAATGTTGACTTATTTGCATGAGCAAATTTCCCAACATTTATTCACACTATTCAAATATCAAGGTATGGTATTAAAAGAAACATCTAATTTGGAGGTATTTTATAATAGAAAATAAGCATTAAGTTGTAACAACATATATAAATTTGTAAACTAGTACACATATATTATATAATATTATTATATACATATATTACAGAGGTAATGTACAAGTATCAGCAAGGCATTTCACAAATGAAAAATATTTTCATCTGCAATACGACCCGCTGATGAACAATTCACTCTTTCCCGCCCGAGTTGCAGTCGCAACTCCACGCAAGATCCAGGAGTTCACTCAATTCCCCATCATCGAACGGGCATTTAGAGAAGATCCTCTTGCACGCGAAGGAGTCTCCAGTGGCAGAGGTGACGTCTTGGGCGTGGACGAAGGCAGCGTTGTAGGAGGTTAAGATTTCCAGGAGCATGTTCTCTTTCATCGTGCGATTGGATTCATCTTTTGCCTGAAGCACGCAAAGTATTTTGGGGATGCAGGCGTTGGGATCCATTTGTCCAACTGCGGATAGAATCAGGTCGGAATCTCCCTCATCTAGCGCTGCAACAGAGCGGCCGAAGCGGGGCCGAAATTTTCTTTTAGGGGCTATATACCCATGGCCATGGCTGTGTCCATGACCAGGCCCGCGATAACTCCGCTTTGCTGCGCTCGTCAAGGCCCCAAGGCCAGCTAGGACGCCGAACGGGGATGCTGCTTGGGCTGCCACCAAGCAGGAAAGACCAACGGCCACCAGAAGGACCAGAGCGCTGTTCATCTAAAAGGAAAAGGCAAACATTATCGCAAAAATGTTACATGTTAAGGAATGGATAAAAGAATCGGAGAACAATCACCACTGAATGTTACTTGATGAAAAGATGCAAATCATAAGCTATATGATGAGTAAGATGATGAAAAATATCATACGCTGTACTTTCGATATAATATGTAAACACTATGAGACATTGATATTTGCCTAACTATATGCAGTCTCTAAAGTATCTTCACAAAGTCACATGAACACACACACACCTTGAAGTCACTCAGAAGATGCTGAACTTATTAAAATAGTCTTAAATGCTCAGTTTTCGTCTGTAAACAAAAGTGTATGCTAAGCTCTGGTTGCAAGACTTTATATACTCCTGCTACTGTTATTGTTGCTAAACTCACCATTTTTTCTCCATTGTAATTGGACGACCTCTACGACGCTCGACCAATAGCGAGACAGCGCTTGGTATGCCCTGTGCAAGAAGGGCATTGCAAGAAGCGATCAGTGTCTGTTGAATTTGAATGAAAAGGAACAGAAGATAGAAAGGAATAAGGATGAGAGATGTTGTGTAATAAAAGTGAAGCAACTGCGTAATTGTAGAATGTTTGTCATCACACAAAAAAAAATAGAAAATAAAAAAATAAACAAAGCTAAACCAGAGATTAGGACGAGGAAATATATTCAAACAATAATATTAATCTAAACATTTCAATCTACAGCCCCGAACGCCACAAAAAGGGAGAAAGGGAAATAAAACAAAAGAAAGAGAAGACAAAACAACAAGAAAAGGCGACATCCGTATAAATGATTTAAATGCGAATGAGGCAGCAGCACCAGTATAGAGATGGCCATTGAATTCCTATTAGTCGTGCTCAATCAAAGGGTAGATTCGTGATGATAATGATAATAATGATGGTAAAGATAACGATTAGCAACAGCGATGATGCTAAGGAGGGTAACAGAGAAAGACGATAACGATAATGTACATAATAGTAATAATGATAATGAGTGCATGATAAAATTCTTCCTGTTATTTTCTCTCTCTTTCTCTCTATCTCAGTTTCTCAGTTTCCTTTTTTTTTTAATGATATCAACTACTCATGTATGGTATAAGATGAAGTGTTTTATCAATATTGTTCTTAATATCATTTCTATTGATTTGATAATGGCTGAATGGTCTATCATATTGTTCATTTTGTCAAAATGCTTCTTTCAAATAGTATATACTAAACCTAATTAGCAATTAAATGTAGTCTGTTCTTATATTTCTTCACTATATCGGACATGAATTGCTGCCATGCTAGATCCATTTGCCAATTTAACAGTCATTTTGGACTTTGTATTTTATATATATATGTGATATATTATCTCCACCTTCCTGTCATAATGCACCAATCTTGCTGTTGAATCTGTCAGGCTGGCCCATACTACCATTATCTCAAATCTGTCATGTCTCTGTCATGTTGTCATGTTGAATAGATCAGCCAAATCAAATAAATCCTATTATCACGCTGAATCCATCTATTTATCATGGCGAATCTATCTTGATGGCATTTTTAATTTTACCTGCCATTCGTACGCATTTATTTATAAGTTTATTTTTATGATTTATTACATTTCAACCTATCACCTGTTGAACGAAGCTAGCTCTATACATTCCTTAATGCTAATGCGTTGATCCTGAGTATCAATAGCTTTGTTAATTGACATATTTAATGTTATTGCGATTGGTCTTCTATCGGTGTGATTGTAAGCAAAAGGATTGTAAGAGAGGATGATGATGTGAATGATGATGATGATAATGATAATGATAATGATGATGATGATGATGATGATGATGATGATAATGATAATGATAATGATAATGATAATGATAATGATAATGATAATGATAATGATAATGATAATGATAATGATAATGATGATGATAATGATGATGATGATGATGATGATGATGATGATGATGATGATATGATGATGATGATGATGATAACGATGACGATGATGGAGATTGGGAGGAGGAGGGCGATAAGGATGATGATAAAGATAATGGCGATGGAGATGATGATAAACGAGAAGGAGAAGGAATAGAAGGAAAGGAGAAAAGGTAGAGAGAAGAAGAGCAAAGATAAGAAAGATATTGGAATGGGGAAAAAAGAAGGAGGAGGAGACGTGAAAGAAGAAGAACGAGAAGGATGAGAAGAAAAAGGAAAAATAAAGAAGAGGAACAAGAAGGAGGAGGAAGGAGTAATCAAAAGGGATAGAAAGAGGGAAACTAAGAAAGCAAGAGAAAAGGAAGATGGATCTGGGATTGGGAAACACGGAGAAGCAGAAAGAGAAGACGAAAAACGAGAAAAAGAAAAGGGAGAAGATAGAACAGAGAGAGATGGAGAGGGGGACGAGGAGAAAAAAAGAAACAAGAAGGAGAAAAAGGAACGGATAATAAAGAAGGGGAAATAAAATGTAGAAGAAGAAAGTGAAAGACAAAAAAAGAAACAAGGAAGAAGAGGAACAGAAGAAAAAAAAGAGAGGAGATGAGGGAGAAGCGAGATGATGGCAAGAACAAAGAAGAGAGAAAGAAAAAGAGAAGCAGAAAAAGATGGAACAAGAATAAGAAAAAGAAAAGGGTCAGAATAGAAAGAAGGACGAAGTAGAAAATGAGAGCAAGAAATGAAGAAGGTGCAAAAGAAAATAAAGGATGTAAGATCACGAAAGAGAAAAGTGAAATGAAAAGGAAAAATGGAGGGTAAAGAGACAGGGAAAATCACACACTCGATCTGTATAAATTTCTTACGATTAGTAAAACATTTTCTGGATTTCAGAGGCAGATCTAATAATCAAGTTGCTGTGAGGAAATATTCAAATGATTTACCTGTCAGTGTTTTTATCAATCATTCTCTCCTTGATAGGATATAAGATTTTCGTTTTCCTTAACATTCTCCCTTAAAGATGATCATATTTTTCGGTTTCCAAGTGGCGTACCTTTGCTGCATGGCCATTTACGTTTTATCATCTTTTTATTTCTTTATCTTACTGTTTTGAGGGGTGCAAGGTCATTCATATACACCGCAAAAATATATAGTGTAGTGAAATAGTATGTGCGATCCAGAACACGCGCGGGCGCACTAAAACACAAGCACATACACAAAAACGTACAAGTGCAATGTGCATATATTGTATACGTGTACAATGGAAATATATAAGCACACAAAGCACTTGTGTAACGCATACACACACATCGCATATTCTATTATCATGTAGAATTTGGTATAATCCGGGAAAAATAAAAAAGGTATGTTTGTTCAACACTTTACTATAAAATATGTATGGGGTATATAAATAACAGGTTTACATGGTAAAGAAGGGTACATCTCAGTCGCCTTGAGTCGGCCTCATCGCATCAGCAGGTCAAACTCATCATCTTGAGGGAGCAGACTCATCTCGATCCATCTCCTCGGCAAGCCAGACTCATCTCCTCAGCAGATTAGACTCATCCTTCGGCCTCTCTATCTGCCTCCCAAGAAGTCGTCCATGACGTAGGGCTGGCGACGGGCTGGCCTTAAGCGCTGGTTTCTGCTGAAGAACTGAAGACGAGAGAGAAGCGTTAAGGAATGGCGTTTGCCTTGGTTAATACGGGAAAGATCTTAGTCTAACTCGTTCTTCCAGATACGTTATTTTCTTTTATCTTATCTGTGTCATGATAATTAGCATTGTTGTTATTCTTTAATTTCACCTGATTATTAGATGTATTATCATTGTGCTTTCAGACTTCATTTAGAATTTACAGAAATAAACCACTTGATTGTCACAAAACAAGTATTAGCGATGTGATAAAAACAAAAAAAAATACATACAGTTGATCTAATAACAGAAACAAATCTATGAATTTACCATAAACAACAACAACAAAAACACTGCAAAAACAAAGCAAAAAAAAAAAAAAAAAAGTACTTACCGGTCGAATAAAGAAATTGGAAGCAACTTCATTCCTTACGTCCCGGAACTGGGGCATGGAGAGAGCGGTTCCCAGGAGGCTGCAAGCGACGATGAGGACGAAGAGGAAACGCATCTGCAAATAGGGAGATAAAAGTGTAAGTAATATGACCGAAAAGGATGTGGATGATAATAACAAAAGATAATAGTGATGATGATGATAATAATAAGAACAGATAATTTGGATAATAGTAGTGATAATGATGATGATCGTTATCATAATTATCATTATGATAATGATAAAGGTAATAATAATGATTAGAGATAGAGATGTGAACATACTAGTGAAAATAAAAA